TTTTAACCTAGCTCCCTGAGTTTTAGTTAATCATGCTATGTACATCTGTTTACCATATTGTATCCCTCCAGAGAAACAAGTACTTTTGTTTCAGGTAGTTAATTTGAATAATTTTTGTCAAATTTTTGTCAAATTCTAATGGACAGAAGCAATTGCTCCTCTGGCCAATTTTTAGGTTATTTGGGAAATGATCATTCTCCATGAAGCAGAAAACATGTACTTACAATTTAAACTGAAATTTCTGGTTTACAGAAACCCTCTTCTTTGCTAGTTCTAAGTAGTTTCTTCCCTATTTTTTCTCTTTATATGCTTGGATGCTGAGCTGGTTCCTACTTAATCTAGTCTGAGAATTCCTTATTTACATATTATGAGGGAAGATTTTCATTATAGGGAAAATTATTCATGTTTAATGTTACTGATAACATTTCTGTATTTTAGTAACTACTTCTGATACACACACGCACACACATGTGTAATGTATATGCATGTTATTACAGACACATCACAGAGCAGGTCAGTGTGGGAGTGTGATGGTTTTGGCTGGGGTAGGGTTAATTTTCTTCCCAGTGGCTGATGTGGGGCTGTGCTTTGCATTTGTGCTGAACACAGGTTTGATAATGCAGAGATGTTTCTGTTATTGTTGAGCAGTGCTTACACAGAGCCAAGGCCTTTTCTGCTTTTCATACTGCCACGCTGGTGGGGAGGCTGGGGGTCCTTGGGAAATTGGGAGGAGACACAGCCAGGACAGGTGACCCCAACTGACCAAAGGCATATCCCATACCATATGACATCATGATCAGTATATAAGGTGGGGGGAAGAAGGAGGAAGTGGGGACATTTGGAGTGATGGCACTTGTCTTCCCAAGTAACCCCTGTCTTATGAACCCATGAGTTTTCTAGCTTTTACCCTTCTGATTGTCTCCCTGACCCTGCTGGTGGGGGAATGAGCGAGCTTGGTTGCTGGGTGGGGTTAAACCACAAGTCAGACATGCAGTACAGAGGCTGGAATTGAGCTTCCCCTCTTTGGAGTGGTAGAGAACAAAGTTTCTGAGAAGCAAATGCTCTGATACTCTTTACACAGCAGTCATGTTCTTAATTTCATGAATAAATAGTTTGGTTAGTATTTATCATAGGTGACTTAAGTCTTTCTGCTAGACTCTGCCACAGTTTTCTCATGAAGTAAATTCTGAGCAGCTCTGTGTTGTGACTTAGATTCATTGTTGTTTCCTTTGAAATTTTCAGAAATATTCTTCTAAAAAAGTGCCTGCTAAAGACATTTTGGCTTATGCTGCAGAAAAAGGACTACTAGATAGCATTTCTGAAGAAAAACCAAAAGAAGAGAAAAAGCAGAAAGTAAAACGACGTAAACGTAATGTTACTGGTGCTGATAGAAAGCCAAAGGCTGCAGAGCCCCTTCACCATCAAACTGGGGCTCATGTTAAGGCTGAAGTTCCAGC